CCCCAAAACCCCAAAACCCCATATCTGCTTATTTTATGAAGAATTATGAAATCAAGAAATTATAAAAATAGATTTTGTGTTAAATCATTTATAATGCAGTTTAGAATATCTCTTGTTCATTATTTCCTAATTTTCTTGAGTTCCGCTAATGCTTGTTCGTTATCTGGGAATACTTTAAGTATCTTCTTATAGACTTTTGTGGCTTTTTCCCTATCTTTAAGATGAAAGTTGTAAATGTGACCCATATTAATGAATGCTTCTTCTTAATTTCCGTCAAGTTATATTACCATTTTATAGTGTTCAAGAGCACTTTCAAAATCTTTGACTTCTTGATAAGCGTTTGCAAGGTTAAAGTGGTAATCAGCTTTTTCTTAATCAAGTTCAATTGCTTTTTTATAGCTGACGATAGCTAAATCATACTACCCTAAGAAGTAATGAGAATTTCCTTTATTAAAATGAGCAAGAGCAGATTTTTCAGGGTTAAGATTAATCGCTATCTAGTATTGCTCAATAGCTTCTTCATATTTCTCTTGCATTGAAAGAGCGTTGCCAAGATTATAAAAGTATTCTACTCTTAATGGGCTAAGCTAGATAGCTTTTTGATAATGAACAATAGCTTTTTCTACTTGCTGCACGTTAAAGTATGAGTTAGCAAGATCATAATGAACATCTGGAAGAGTATTGTCTAGTTCAATAACTCGTTCATAGAATTTAGCTGCCTCCTCATATTTCTATAAAAATGTAAAACATGAATTCAAGCTTACTTCTTTGTCATACTTAGCATTGCCACTACAAATCAATGCTCTTATTTCATTTGGATTATAAACTAGAGCTTCTTTGAAATATCTCAAAGCAGTCTTTGTGTTTCCATTTTCATACATGATGTTTCCAACAAGTACCAATGTAGGAGAATCAATCTTGTTGATAATTAATGCCTCTTTTAAGTACTCAACGGCCTTGTCGTACTTTTTCTCTTTCAAATATATTTCACCCATTAACCTTAGTGCAGCTCCATATTAAGGGTTAATTTACTTTACTCTCCTAAGACATCTGACTGCTTGATGAAGATCTTAACTTTTTTATTGCCTTAACTGATTATCTTAAGATTTCTGCTCCTTAAACTTGACATAACCCTTGAATGCTGATAAACTGTAGCCATAAAGCAATTCAACATTATCCTCTTCTAACTATAGAGCATGCTTGTAGTATTTCATGGCTCTATCATACTCTTCTCTTTGAAGCAAGAGATTAGCTAATGCACTTAGACTCTCTAGATGAGTGTTTTGTACCAATAATGCGCTCTTGTAGTAAGAAATAGCATTCTTTCGATTTCCCATCTTCTCATAAAGTTTACCTAGTCTGAAGAACGCTTCAAGAGAATATCCATGCTAATCACTTGCTTTCTTTAGATACTCTATTGCTTATTCATTCAATTCTTAAGTCTCACAAATTAATCCAAGAATAATTAAAGCACTACCATTGTTTTCATCTCTGCCAAGTGTTTTTAAGGCATAAACCTTTGCTTTATCTATATTTTTAAGGCTTTTATAGTGTATCATTGCCAAGTTCAGGCAATGATCAATTATATACTTAGGGTCAGAACCTAACTCCTCTTCAATTTGAATAGCGAATTCTAAATTCTCTGCAGATTTCTCAAAGTTCTTCAGCTTCTTTTGGCATTAAGCTATTCTAAGGTAGAGTTTGCTTTGATTTATGCTTAGAGTAGTGCATTAAGTATATGTCAGTATTGCTTGCTTAAAATTCTTCATTAGCTCATAGCATTTACCTTTCTAGAAAATTGAATCGTATAGCTACTTTTCAGATCCTTCTTCATAGTTTCTATACTTCTATCTATATGTCTCAATTAAGAGATCATACAGCTCAATAGATTTTTCAAGTTTCCCTATTTAATCATAAAGTTTGATTGATTCATGAAGAACATCAAGTCTTTTGAACTATGGCTAGAATGTCATTATATCTTCGAGTAAAGCTAGAGCCTGCATTATTTTGTTTTCCTCCTGGTAAATCTGGGCTAGTCTGTATTTAGCTTAGTAATCCTAAGAATTAATTTGTATCCTGAAGTGGCAAGTTCTTGGAGTCCAACAATCAGCATCATTCTCATTAGTTTTCTCGCCATTGAAACTCATATTCAATATATGTTAGGATGCTTATTCCTAAAGTATATTTCTGGCTGAAATAGCCGCTGCAGTCATCATTGATGACTCTTCAAGATTATCAGCATCCTAAACACTTTGAATTTAGTATGCTTCTACGATTTTCTCCTTCTCATCCTCAGTTGGAGAATTAATCTAAACTTGCATGAACTTATTGTCTTACTTGAACTAATAATTTTAGTCCGCTTACTCTTCTTAATCATCTTCGACTTCGAAGTCATTTTTATTGGCTGATGAATACCTTATTGAACTACTAGATTCTTTCTTTTGGCTATTATTCCTATTCGAGCCTATTTCACTTGGACTGTCATCCTTGAACAAAACGAATTGCTTTATATCTGTATCTATTACTAGATACTCTTTATCTTGAATTTAATTCATAGACTGGTCCTGTAAAGTCTATTGCGTTTCAACTTTGTGCTCAATCACTTGAATTTCAAGTTATTCTTTATCAACTGAAATGTTTAATTTACTTTGAGACTATTCATCTTCTAGATCTTCATCAGTATTAAGGCCATCATGATCATTATCATCATCTTCTTCATCTTCTGGGATAGCTTGGTGAGCATTTGATTGCATCTAAGATACTGATTTCTTAGTCGTTTCTTCATCTTCACCTTCCTCCTCTTCCCTTATTATACTTCTTGAGTTTGAAGTACCATTAGTTTCAGATTGCTTGTTTGCTGACATTTCAATGTTACCTTTAGCTATGAGTTGGTTTATTGTTTTTTTCTTTTTCATCATTTATGTCTTATTCTTGTATAAACCTGTTCCTCCACCTTCCTCGTCATCATCTTCAATAATGGCTGTGATTTTGGTGCCCATTCTCTGAAGACCTGTCATACTTTTCTAAATTACTGGTCCTTTTGATCGTACAGTTTTCACCTTTGTCTGCTATCTAGAAAGCATTTCCTACTTAAATTCTTCAAGTCCTTCACTCAGTTTGGCATCAATTTTTTCTTATCTAACTTTTTCAAGCTCGTATAGCTTCAAAGCCATGTCATCATATCCATATTCTGCACATAAATGTGCTAATTGCTTGTTGTATCTAGATTTTTTGTTCAGTTTTACATGCATGAAAGCATCATTGAAATACTATTAAAGATCCTGCTTCCCAGAGTCCTTAGCTAAAAGTAGTCTATTTATGTACAATAGGTCTTTACTCTTCACCTTCTTCTTATCTTCTAGTATTTCTAAGGCGTTTTAAAGATGTCTACTGCTTTCCTCGTAATTGCCTATTTTCCTGTTTATAATCCCCAAATTTGTATGGATTTTTCTATCAGTGCCCTTTATTACAACTGCCTATTCCAAACTTTTCAGAGCCTACTCCCCTTTTCCTTGCTTATCTTGTACTATAGCAATATTGACTAGAGTCTTATGATCATTGGGATCAATGTCCAAGACCTGTGTGTAAGTCTACTCTGCCTCTTTGTGATCATTAAGCTCCTCATAAGTTTTTGCTATGTTATACAAGCATTTTGCTTTCGACTTTTAATCCTACGCTAGAATACAGGCTTTCTAAAAGTATTCAAGACTGTTCTCTTATTTCTTAGAGTCTAACAGATATCCACCCATGTTAAAATTGCTTTCATAATCTTCAGGGTCTACTTCAATAGCCTTTTACAAAAGTTTACGACAATCATCATATTGTTTAAAATGGTCTTTGCAATAGTAGAGGCCATTCAATGCAGAGACATTATCATCTTCTAACTCAAGTATTTTCTCATAAATTTCTTGCTATTATAATATTAAGATCAGCAATACTTACAGCCTTTGAGTAGTTTTTATTTTTGATAAGCTGGCAATCAGCTTCCTAAAAGAGTTGTTCTAGTTTATCCTCATAATCGTCATCATTAGTATTGATGTTTTGAAGCAGTTATTCAACCATTTTAAGAATATACTTTTGTTGTATTCAATCAAATCTATTTATTAATTCTACAATATTAAAACTAAATGTTAAAATTTGGGGTTTTGGGGTTTTGGGGTTTTGGGG